TTTGTGTGAGAGAGAGAGAGAGAGAGAGAGAGAGAGAGAGAGAGAGAGAGAGAGAGAGAGAGAGAGAGAGAGAGAGAGAGAGAGAGAGAGAGAGAGAGAGGGGGGGGGTGCTAGCAAAGTGTATTATATATAATATATATATATATGACATGCCCCAGTTGGCAGGAGGGAACGAGAGAAAGATAGAGTGGGAAATAGGTGGGGACAAAGAAATACAGAGACAAACAAAGAAAAAGAGAAGGCGAGCGGTACACAGAGCAGAGAGAGAGAGAGAGAGAGAGAGAGAGAGAGAGAGAGAGAGAGAGAGAGAGAGAGAGAGAGAGAGAGAGAGAGAGAGAGAGAGAGAGAGAGAGAGAGAAAGAGAGAGAGAGAGACTGCTCGATTGAAATTATGACATTGTAACTTACTGGTTCTCTTTTCTTCGGATTGTGATTCCTCCAATTCCAAAACGGAGGAAAAACCACCGTTTATCGAAACGACATCCGCAATCTTCATTTAGATCTAGGTTAGCCGCGAAACTAGATGAAAGATTTATGTCTGTCTGCCTAGATCTAGACCTAGACCATAGATCTAAAGTAGAAGAACCTAGATTTCTAGGTCTACCCTGAGCCAAGAGGGCGCTGAAACTCTCCGAAATCACAAAAGAGTTCCCCTACCGGGTCTGTATACTTTGTGACTTTGTTCCCGGTTACCGGGTCTGTATACACTCCCTTTGAGAAAAGATGACATTTTTTGAAGAACATGAGCATTTGCAGATAATATAACTGTGTTGACCCAACAATCTGACAGACAATGAATGAAATGCAGCACTGAGTCTGGTTTGAGCCCAGGGGATAATATACCATCCTTGGCAGAAGTGAATTAATATAATTAACACAGAGATTATGACAGGGAAAACGTGAACTGTTAGAACATTAGTTTGTCAAGTCGTTAGAGCTTGAGACCCAAGCCCTAGAGAGTTTCACCACAGGCTCGAATAATTTCGACAAAAACAAACAACAGTACACTACGCAACATTATCGATAACTGGTACTTTTGTTTTCATCGGAAATTAGATTTTTAAGTTTTACAGTTTTCAAATTCTGAAACCATGACAATACAAACTATACATTGTTTCAGTACAGTTACAGATCCTTTTACCTCTTGGCATCTTGAAAGAAATCCACGAGGACACGAAAAAATGGCACAATACGCTCCTTTCACCTGTTTCACAAACGTGCCAGCCTGCTGACAATCTTGTGAAGTAGCGAGTTGTTTTAACCCATGGGTGTTGAACTACTTCCGGGTTAAGAGTTTTTTCTGCTGGCTTCTTTTTTTTTTCAACAAGCGAAAAAAGAAATTTTTAAAGTAGGCCTATGATAATAATTATTTTATTGAATTTGACACAATTACATAGATCGGAGACCTAGAAATGTAAACATGCCATTACTAGCTTTTACTTCCATGTGTTATGGTGAACAGAAAGGGCTTATAGCAGGTTGTCTTAGATCTAAGAAAGCATAGTACATGTAGGCCTATAGGTAAAAAAAAAAAAAAAAAAGGCTTCCACCCAAGAACACAGAACAAAAGAGAGTCAAAAACTGCTTTAACTGATTGCTAACAGCGTGTATTGCCTTTGACTGTGAATTATTGAGCATAGTACGTATCTTTTCTCTTTTACACAAAGTGCCCCCCCCCCCCCCCCCCCCCCCAAAAACCAAAAGAAAAAAATTTCCTTTAACTCAAAGAGGGCCCGGGTTCAAGTTGCGCCCCCTAAAAAATCTTTGGAGGGCCACAAACCATAAAAAGAGGAAGGTTCACCCCCCCCCCGGGCAAAATTCAAAATTTCCTACCTACTGAAAAGGGTTGATGTATCCCGGGGGCTCCTAAAAACCAATTAATTAGG